CACTGATTTCTATTCTGGTCTTTATTGTTTCCTTTCCTCTATTTACTTGGTGTTTCACTTGCTATTTCTAGTTTGCTTAAGATGGACTGTAAGGCTACCAACTGGAACTTGCTTCTTTTAGAACACCGGTGTTTAATGCTATACATTTTCCCCAAAGTATTGCACAATGGCAATATGCCTCAAACTTTGATATGTTGTTTACTTGCTAGTTTTCCTTTTGGTTTCTTCTTTCCACATGGGTTATTTACTGTGTGCCATTCAGTTTCCAAATATTTGCAGATTTTTTTAGAGATGTTTTGCTATTGACTTCTAGTTTAATTATGGTCAAAGAACAAACTTTGTATAACTTGAATCCTTTCAAGTGTATTAAGGCTTGTCCTATGGTCCAGAATATGGCCTGTTGGTTAAGTATTCTGTGTATCTGAAAAGAATGTGTGTTCTACTGTTCCTGGATGGAATATTGTGTAAATATCATTTATGTCAGTTTTATTATGTTTATTCTATAGATTTACTGGTTTTCTGTCTATTTTTTCTATAGTTTAAGAAGGGGATGTTGAATCTCTGATTATAATGATAGATTTGTCTGTTTATCATTTGTTTCGTTCATTTTTTGCTTCATTTATTTTGAAGTTCTATTGTTAGGTATGTAAACATTTAGGATTGTTATGTTTTCCTGATGAATTGATCCATTTGTCAGTATGAAATTAAATTATTTGTGATAACACTGTATGTTCTAAAATTTACTTTAAAACCTAACATCTTCTTTTAAATTAGTGTGAGTATATCTTCTCTATCATTTTATTTTTAACCTAATTTATATCTTTATCTTTAAACATTTCTTGTAGGCAGCATATAGTTGGATCCTATTTTTTTAATCCAATTTCATAGACCCTTAATTTAATTTGGGTGTTTAAACCATTTGCATTTATTGTGATTAATGATATTACTAGGTTTGAGCTCAATATGTTGCTATTCGTTCTGTGTTCCTTTTTTCCTGTCTTTATTTTCTCTTTTTGCCTTTTTTGGGTTGTGTATTTTTTTTTTCCAGCAGGAAACTGTTTTATTTGGCTGCAGCCAGGTTCAGAGGGTACAGCTTTTGTTGTAATCAATCAATCCCCTGAACCCCAAGTTCAGGGAGTTTCAGAGGGGTTGTGTATTTTTTATGATCTTATTTTATCTTCTTTGTTGGCTTATGAACTATAATTCTCTGATTTGCTAGTTCAGTGTTTGCTTTAGGGTTTATGGTATCTGTCTTTAGTTTATCACACAGCTCACTTTCAAGTGATATTATATCACTTTGCATATAATGATAACTTTATAAACTATATACTTCCATTTATCCTCTTTAGCCTGGTATTATCATACATTTAATTTTTACATGTTATAAATCTCACATTACATTATTACTATTATTTTTGATTTTAATTTTTGAGACAGAGTCTTGCTAAGTTGCTGAGGCTGGCCTCAAACATGTGATCCTTCTGTCACAGCCTCCCAAGTAGTTGGGATTACAGGTGTGCACCACCATGTCTGGCCACATTATTATTTTTGCTTACATAATTATCTTTTTAAATTTTTTATATTTGTATATGGACACAATACCTTTATTTTATTTATTCATTTTTATGTGGTGCTGAGGATTGAACCCAGTAGTCATATGTGGTAGGTAAGTGGTCTACCACTGAGCTATGACCCCAGCATTATTATCTCTTAAAGAGATTTAAATGATAAGAACAAAAGTTGTAGTGTTTGCTCATGTTCTTATCATTTGCAGTGCTCATCATTCTTTTGTGCAGCTTGATATTTCCTTTGGAGATCTTTCTGCCGCATGACCAGCACGACCAGCACGCTAGCTTCAAACTAGAGGTTCCAAACATAGAAGTTAACTAGTGAGATCAAAATAAAGACACATTTTACCTTTTTCTTGCCCAGCTAAGAGACGGTTTCTCCGGGCTCCTGCCTCGAGCCACCTGGCGGTAGCAAGGTTTACACAAGAGACCAGCAGGAGAGAGAGAGGCATGCCAGAGAGTGAGCTTTTATTGGGGAACAAAAAATTCAGGGGAAAATTCCATCCAATGAAGGTCGATGGGGACAGCATTCCAAGGTCAGGGTCAGTGACTGGTTTTCAGGTCAATGGTCAGTCACATCCCCACACAGACAGGCCCTCGCACCTGGAAAGCGTGGGGAAAGCTCTGACTCAGCTGGTCTGAGTACCTCACACCCAGTCAGGGAGGTACCCAATCACGTGTGAGAACAGCTTCCCACAGATCTTTTTCCATCTGCCTGAGATTTCCCTTAACACTTCTAATGGTATGGTCTGTAGGTCAATTCTCTCAGGTTTTCTATATCTGGAAAAAATAGTGAGCTTTATCTCTTCTTTTGGAGGATGGGAGGGCTAGAGACTGAATTCAGGGTCTCAGGAATGCTAAGCATGTGCTCTATCTCTAAATCTGGTGCTGGAGATAAAACCTAGGCAAATGCTCTTCCACTAAACTACCCCACCAGCCCCGCCCTTCACTATTTTTTGTGGGGTACCGGGGATTGAACTAAGGGACACTCAATCACTGAGCCACATCCCCAGCCCTGTTTTGTATTTTATTTAGAGACAGGGTCTCAGTTGCTTAGCATTTCACTGTTGCTAAGGCTGGCTTTGAGATCCTCCTGCCTCAGCCTCCCGAGCCACTGGGATTAGAGGTGTGCACCACCACGTCTGGCCCCACCTTCATTTTTGCAAGATATTTTTAAGAGGTATAGAATCCAAACTTGACACTACTTTTCTTTCAGTAGTTTAAATATATTGCTTTACTGTCTTCTCGCCGTGTGTTTTCCAATGAGGAATCCATTATGATTCTTATCTTTGTTCCTTAATATAAAAGATGTGTTTTTACTTTGGATTTGAAAATTTTCACTGGTTTTGAGCAACTTGATTTTGTTTTTTAGTATAATTGTCTTCATGTTTCTTGTGCTCGGGATTTGTTGAGCTTCTTGAATCTGTGGGTTTATAGTTTTCATCAGACTTTGGAAAAAAAACCTTAATTTTTTCAAATAGTTTTTCTGTATTTGACTTCTCTCTTCTTTATTGGGGACTTCAATTATATATTTGTTAGATTGCTTGAAATTTTCCTATAGCTTACTAATGCTATATTTATTTTTAAAATATTCTGTGTGTTTTGTTTGGGATAGTTTCCATTTCTGTGTCTGTTCATTAAATATTTCTTCTGCAATGTCTAATTTGCCATCAAACCTACTTAGTTTACTTTTTATAATTTTTGACATTACAGTTTTCATCCTTAGAGAGTTGATTTGAATCTGTTTTATATCTTACATGTCTTTAACTTTTGAACACAAAGGATACAGTTGAATAATTGTTTACTGCTTTTATAGCCTAAATTTAACACCAGTTATTTCTGGGTAAGTTTAATTTGGTTGACTTTTCTTTTGTGTCTCATCATTTCTGCCTCTTCACATGTCTGATCATTTTTGACTGGAGGCCATACATTTTATCTTGTTAGATGATACTTGAAGGTAGTTTGATCTTTTCTGGTAGGATTTGTTATGTGAAATTATGTTTCAAGTCAGGTTGAATGCTAATTATTCTCACTACTGGTCAGGCCCCTTTTGTGTACTCTAACCAATGTTCCATGAATTATGAAGTTTTTGTTTAGAAGTTATCTAGCCTTTTTGGTGCTTGCTGTGTGAGCAACAGGTGGTGTTCCCACATGCTTTTTGGTGGTTCTTTCCTTGGCTTTCGTAATTTCCTCACATGCTTCTTTCTTTGTGTGCAGCTCTCTTTTCTGTAGTACCCTGTCTTATGAACTCAAGTTGCCTAGATCTATTCTGTACCTTAAATTCCATCTTAACAACTTCTGGCTTGGTGGGATCAGCCTGGGTTCTCTCTTCATGAACTGCAGGCTGTAATCTTGCTTAAGGTAATAAGTACCTCAGCAATAAATACCTCACCTAAATTATTTCCTGTCTCTGAGGGTACACTGGTCTTTGTTGTCTGAGGCCCAACTTGTTTGTTTTTGGTACTGGGGTTGGATCCAGGGATGCTCTACTATTGAGTTTCATCTCCAGTACTTTTTATGTTTTTATTTTGAGACAGGATCTTGCTAAATTGCCCAAGCTGGCCTTGAACTTGTGATCCTCCTATCTCAGCCTCCTGAGTTGCTGGGATCATAGGTGTGCACCACTTTGTCTGGCTCAAAACATTGTATTAGAGTTTGCATGAGTTGGTTTGTAAAGCATTGTTTGGTCCAGGGATCAAGGATTGGGTTAGGAAATAAATTCATCTTGCTTAGGGGAATCTGATTAAATAGTATGTTAATAAGGATTCTGAGGCTACATCTTGATTCCATAAGAAACATAGCCTTGAGGGCTGGGATTGTGGCTCAGCTGCAGAGTGCCCGCCTAGCATCTTCGAGGCCCTGGGTTTGATCCTCAGCACCAAATAAAAATAAATAAATTAAATAAAGATATTGTGTCCAACTAAAAAATAAATATTAAGAAAAAAGAAACACAGCCTTCAGATAATACTGGAATGTTAGGTATTTTGACAGTTTGATTAAATATATGGAGTATTTTGAAATAATAGTTCACAAGTTTATAACATTTCATGTAGTATTATAAGTACTATATATGTATGTCCAACTCATTTACATCCCCAATAACTCATTGAATCTATTAATATCCTTATTCCGTAGGTAGAAAAACAGCATAGAGGGGTTAAATAACTTCTTCATATCACACATTTGGTAAATTTAGCTCCAGAGTTTATGCTCTTGTTTCTGTAATACTACTTTTCTAATAAACACTTAATGTTTCAGAAAAATTAAGGATAAACTATGTATCTCTACTTATATAGTATACAAGTGATAAAATGAATTTGTTGCTTGTTAATGTGAAAATGGCCCAAACTTACCAAACTTTTACCTTAGATTGGAAAGATTTGTATCTCATATTTCTCATCATGTCTGATCCTTTGCGTTTTATTTCTTTAGGTTCCCTTGCCAGTTCCATTTTTGATCCACTCAGGTCTCTTGTGGGTGCTTCAGGAGGAGTCTATGCCCTGATGGGAGGTTATTTTATGAATGTTCTAGTGGTAAGAACTTTGGGAACAGAATCTATGGAGGAGGAGGAGGATGATGATGATGATGATGATGATGATGATGATTTTTGCAGTGCTGTGAATTGATCCCAGGGCCTTGGGCATGCTAGGCAGGTGGTCTACCATTGAGCTATCTCCTTTGCTTCCGCTTTTTTCCAAAACAATAACTGTTACTTGGTTCAGAGAATCTTCATTTAACAATATTTAGGGAATACTCATCTTTCTGAGAATCATATGGCCCTCAGAGTTTATCCTTCATATTTTATATTTTCTTGTTATCTCAAAAGTAATGTGGATTAGCCAGGCAAGGTGGCACATACCTGTAATTCCAGTGACTCAAGAGGCTGAGGCAGGAGGATTGCAAATTTGAGGCGAATTTAAGCAATTTAGTTGAGGCCCTATCTCAAAATATAAAATAAAAAGAGTTGGGATGTAGTTCAGTGGAAGAACACCTCTGGGTTCTGTTCTAGTAGCAAGGGAAGGGGGAAGGACAAAGTAATGTGAATAAATAAAATTTTAAGTTTAAAAAAAGAAAGTCAAGGTTCCCAGTATAATGTCTTTTTAACAGTCTGACATGCATGTATAAACATTTTTCTATATGTATTTAAACTCCACCAATATTATACAGAAATGGCCTCCCCTTGTACTGTTCTGCATCTTCATGGGGCATCCTGGCCATCCACCCATGTCAGTACACAGAGAGCTCCCTCTGCCTTTGCAGGGCTCTAGAGCATCCTTTGTATATTTGTATCATGATTTTTTTTTTTTTTTTAACAGAATCTCATTGAAAAAAACAGTGGGGTGGGCTGGGGTTGTGGCTCAGCGGTAGAGCTCTCACCTAGCATGTGCGAGGCCCTGGGTTCAATCCTCAGCACCACATAAAAATAAATAAATAAAACAAGGTATTGTGTCCAACTACAATTAAAAAAATAAATATTAAAGAAATGTGGGGCCATTTTGCTTTTCACATTATAAATAATGCTGTAGGGAACGTTCCTTTACATTAATGTTTTGCATTTGTGGTTTTTTCTTTTTGATAGGATAAAATCCTAGAAGTGAACTTACTAGGTGAAAACTTAACATTTCAATATGCAAATTCCAAATTGCCCTCCAAAACTGGCATATAATTTTACATTCCCATGATAGTATGTGAGTGCCAACCATTTCTTAACACAGGAAAAAAATCCTGACTTGGCTTCAACCTTTTACCCATTTAGGTATTACTATAAAATCACTCTAGTAGGACAAATACCAAGCAATTCTAAAACTGTTCCAGAGGTAGAAGTTACTTCTTAGAAAAATATTTTTCAAACGTTGGATTACAACCCATTAGTGGTTGTGAACTCAGTTGAAGGTCCTGGGCTCCAAAATCAAACAAACAAAAATTTCAGCGTGTGTCACATGGACTAGGAGAAGGCACTCTTTGATTTATGTGTGCAGTGGGTTGTTACATTATTTCTTACTGTAGGTCATGTTCACAGAAGCTTGAAAATAGAATTAACACCCCTGGTGCAGCATCTTCACTTCATAGGAAGGGAGTTAATAACTTGAAGGGGAGGGAGAAGCAACTCAGTAAATTAAAGTGGAGTATGTGACTCAGCAGTTTTTTAAGTGACACCAGGGCTATCACAGGCAGGCACATTTTTTCAAAGTTAAAATAGAACAATGTATTTTGATCAACATTTTCCTTTATTTTGAAATTACTTTAAAAAAAATTGAATTGATACTCAAATTTTAGTTAAGTCTTTGCTAGCTACTATGGGAAAAGAGAGTAAAGAAGTAGTGAATAGACGAGATCGGGCGCGTTCAGGGTGGTATGGCCGTAGACAGAAGTAGCGAATAAGTATTTCCAAAAAAAGCTTGGAACTACTGCATCAGTCTTAGGTTAATGGCATTTATTTATCTAACTATCCACCCATATATTCATTTTTTGACATATTCAGTGTAGACTTTTTATTATCTATATTTAGATAATTTCCAGCTAATAAAATTTCCCCCTTCCCCCTCAGTTCTGGGGATTGAACCCAGGGCCTTGTACATGCTAGGCAAATGCTTTACCACTTAGCTGTACCCACAGCCCCCTACATTGAGTCATAAATCATAGAATTAAATGCCATGCTTCATTTTATTGTCCAAAGTGCACTAGCATTGTATTTCTTAAAAACTTTTTTAAAAAACTTGGCTGTTACAACAATGCTTTGTTTGGCAAATATCTGATGCTTAAACATAGGTTTCAATCACAGAGCTGGTGAAGAGGGGGTAGAGCTGAGGTTTCCTTTGCCAACAGATTGCTTACATTATTGTGACTTATCTCTTTGCAAGAATTTTCGAGAAATGATTCCTGTCTTAGGAATTTTCAGACTACTGATCATCATCCTTATAGGTAAGTGAGTTCGGGGAATATTTTACACCTTTGGTTTAATTGGATCCACCTTCAAAAGGCCTTTTCACATTTCCCAAACACTGCCTAGGGTCAGAAAGAATTGTTGGCTTCATAGGATTAGGCATGAAGGGAGGAATTTCACAGGAACCACCTCAGGGTGGTTCTTAGAGGGGCCTGGTGAAGTGTTTGGGCTTGTTGTTTCTTTCTAGAGTGGGGAAAGCCAACAAAGCAGAGCTCTAGGTGCCCCCTCTACTTCAACCATAATGTTTTATAAACTGGACTTTCTCTTTCAAATGTTGGAGACTGTATGTGACTTTTGTCTGCAAAGGAAAAGCCTGGAAACCACTGAGATATTCTGCTGCCTTCTCAAGTTTTACATTTTCAGATTAAAAAAAAAAAACTGATCTAGGATATAAACTCTGAGTGGCAGCTGAGGACTGAGGACAAGAGAGTGGAGGTCAAGGAACCGAGAAGCTCAAGAGCTAAGAGAGTGACTAAGGTGGCTTTTGAAATCTCTATGAATTCTAGAATTACACGCTAGAGGAGTTTTGGTTTGGAAGAACACGCCATCTGGGTGGGGGGGGCTGGATTTTTTTTCTTTTTGGTGTTGGGGATGGAACCCAGGACCTGGTGTTTGACAGGGAAGTGCTTCACCACTGAGCCACATCCCCTGTCCTGAGAGGCTGGGATTTTAACTGAGTCTGAAAGTAAGGATAGATTTGGGTACTAGCAGGACATACAAGGTAGAAGAAAACAAGGGCAGAGGCATGGGTGGTAAGTTTTCAGGGGCCTGCTTCCGGTGGAGCTATACCCATTGGGGGAATTGGGGGAGGAGGACAGACCCTGGGGTCAGACTTGAAAGCCAAGGTAGAGGTCACACTTGGTAAAATCTCGGGTTTTTGGTATCAAGGTTTCCATATTCCACATACAGGAACAGGGGCAACTGCCTCTGTGGAAAGATCCTAAATTTAGTTTATGAACCACTTAACTATAAAAATATCAATATTTCATTCTGAGTTCACTTGTTTATAGCTTATACCATACTGTAGATAATTTCTTTTCATAAAAAATAAAAAAGTTAAGGAAAAATTGTTGGAAGAGAAGGGAAAAGCAAATATCTGGCCCCTATGGGAGCTTCTCAGTTGTTAAGAGTCACCATCAGAACCCATGAACCAGTCATTTGGGCAAACAAATGTTGTCATACAAGTGACCTGGGTCTTTAGTCAATCTGCATGAAGTCTTTGTAGAATAAGCCTCACATCCTTAGTGGGGAAATGATTTTCATGCTTTTCAAAGTTGAAGTGAAAACCCTTGCTTCATGTGCAGTGTATCTCCAAAGGTGGTTTCTGTGATGTTCTGTCATTCTCGAGGTGCATACTAAAATCACCACATGACCTGCGTCGCTTTGTGGGATCTGCTATTGTCAACCTTCCCTGATCCTGACATATCATTTCTAAAAGTTTTTTGGCTTGAAAATGAGAATAAAAACACATACCAGATTCGTAAAATTACAAATTAAGGAATATAAATATATTTTAATTTGAAACACATTTCTTGAAAACATGTACATTGTTTGGTTTTCTTTTAATTGGTAAACATTACCCTTAATTGTGAAGGATAATTAGATTAAGGACCACATTCATGGGATATGTTATTTAACTAAGAAACTGAGCTTACCTTGGGCAAAAGTTAAGAAAATCTCACATTTTCATCCTTAAAAAAAAATAAAAAATCCACATAAAGCCAACTCCTTTAAAATGAGTGTCAATAACTGGGTGTAGGAATACATTCCTGCAATCCCAGTGACTTGGGAGGCTGAGGCAGGAGGATCACAAAGTTTGAGTCCAACCTTAGCAACTGTGCAAGAGCCTGTGTCAAAATAAAAAATAAAGGGCTACAGATGTAGCTCAGTGATAAATACCCCTGGGTACAACCCCCAGGAACCCCCACCCCCACAAAAAAATTATAAAAAAGTGCCAACTTTTTAATGAGGCAGCAATTAGGTTTATTGGAATTAGGGCCTCTTTTCAGGTGGGAAGACATGTTTCAGTTTAAAGGCTGCAGCAACCCAGGAGCAGACTCCTCTAGGAGGCAGAAAGAGCTAGGCAGTGATATAAGAAGGGGAAGATAAACAAGAGAGAAATGGGATGGAGAAATTGAGATAGTCACAGAGACTTTTTTTTTTTTTTTGGGGCTGTCCCCTGCTGTGGAAGAATAAAGAAGGTGTTCTCTTGGGGGCCCCCTGGTCTTTGGCAGAGTTCTTTCATAGTCCTCCCTGCATGTTATTTATGCTGGAACAGGAAATGCAAATGATGAATGAAAATATGATGGAAAAAAAAAAAAAAAAAAAAAAGATGCATTTACCCAGCACTTTGTGTAACAGCCATTTACAATTAAATCACAATCAAAGTTGGGCACAGTGGCATGCATCTGTAATCCCAGTAATTAGGGAGACTGAGGCAGGAAGATCATAAATTCAAGGCCAGCATAGGCAATTTAGCTAGACCCTGTCAAACAATAAAAAATAAAAAAGGGCTGGGGGGAAAAAAGGGCTGGGAATGTAGTTCAGTAATAAAGTGCCCTGGATTCAATCCCTAGTAGTGGGGAAAAAAATTAACATTGAGTTAATGTTAATTTCGCCCTCAATCTCTGTCCCGTGACTTCAACATCAATATGATATTGAATGGGAAACCAGCCAGAACACATGGTCCTGATGCTGTTTTCCCAAAGGCAAGGACTAGGCCTTTCCATCTCCTAGGACACGGTGGCTCACTAAATAGAGCGCAGGGAACTGGGGGATGGGTGTGGAATGTGATAGCTACAAGAGATGTTTCCAAGCTCACATGTAGGGCAGAGTTCTTCAAGGCAAAGCAACCCAGAAACTCCTCTGTCAGCACAGACCTGACTTAGGAAGAAAGTCTAAGTTCTGGCTCTCATTTCTGTTGAGGAATGTGGACTCCTTTCCTTTCATGGTCCATTTTCAGTACTCTTGATGGTAAATAAAGGCAATTAGTATGGTGCATAAGAGTGGAGTCTTGGTTTCTTTATGTATAAAATGCCACCATTGTTCTTCACTTGGATTGCCACAAGTAATCCTCTAGTTGGTTTCCCCGCTCCTATTCTTGCTGTCTTATCATCTTTTTCCTATATAGTGGCCAGAATGATCTTTGTAAAAACAAGTCAGATCATGTCACTCCTATGATCAGAAGCTTTCACAGGCTTCCAATTACTCAGAGTAAAAATTAAAGTCTTTATAGTGCTTCACAAGGCTCTTATGAAATGTATCTTCTGCTGTGTGATCTCATCACCTACCACTTTGTCCTTAACTCTAGTCCAGAATCACCTGGAAGTCTTTTTAAAACAGAATGTGAACTTCATCCTCGGTTTCTTGTTCATAGGTTTAGGTGCAGCCTAAGAATTTTTATTTTTAAGAACTTCCCAGGTAATGCTGGTGTTGCTGGTTTTGGGAAAACACATTTTGAAAACCACTGATCCAGCCATATCAACTGCACTGGAACTCCCCAAACACACCAGGCACATTCCTGTCAAAGGGACTTTGTGCTTGCTCTTTTTCCTGCTTGGAACAGATTATTACTTCACATATCAGCATGGCCTGCTCCCTCATGTCATATTCTCAGGAGATCTTCCCTCCTATTAAAAGTCACATCCTATCCTTGGCATTCTTGACTTTCCTCTGTTATTTCCTTCACAATACTTAGCACTGTTTGATATAATGTATGTTTTGCTTGTTTGCTCCTCTAGATCATCAGCTCTATGGGGCTGTCTCTGAACTGTTCACTGCTGCATGTATACCAACTAGAATTGTGCCTGCTACACAGAGAAAAATCAATAAATCCTTGTTGGATGAATAAATATAAAATGGAATAATGATAGTACTTACTTCATAGGGCTGTTGAGAGGATTACTGAATTAATGCATGTAGACTGTTTAGAATGGAACCTGGAATAGAATAAAACTCAGGAATTGTTATATATCATTATTAGAGGGGAACCAAAAACAGTTGGTGCAATATTGTGGAGATCCTGGGCCTTCATCAGGGTGTTTTTCCTTCTAGTTGTGTCAGATATGGGATTTGCTCTCTACAGAAGGTTCTTTGTCCCTGAAAATGGGTCTCCGGTGAGTTGCTTTTTTTTTTTTTTTAATTAAAATTTTTTTATCAAAAGGGTCATTGAATAAGGGATACAACTCTATGATTTAGGGCAGTCAAATATCCATTTGGAAGTTTTAGAAAACTCGTAAGGAAATCAGACTTTTGGATTGTCCTCACTTACCTCACTGATCACTGCACTTGCCATGTTGACAGCCATTCCAAAACAGGAGAGAAAGGATTTCCCTGTCCACAGAGAATAAAAAGCAGATTGAAATACAGTAATGAAAATTTGGCTCCATATGAATTTATAACACAAAGAGAACTGACTTTAAGTTTTGCTGGGATTAATCTTTAAGTCTGGAGTTTCTATTTGAGTATTTGTGTATATACTATTATTTTTTCAACTCTGCATCCCATTTCAATAGGATGTTCTCATAGAGATCCCTCATGGCCACTCAGTTCCTAGTCTCTTGGTTGGCATTATATAGAATCATCCTAAATGTAATGATGATCAAGAAGAATGAGAAACAATGGCCCCTGTTTTATGTACTCAGAATGGTTAAAAATGACATTTTTTAGCTTTGCATGTTTTAGAACATCTTTTCTCTGTGTACATGGGATTTTGTGTCTCTTCTGTTTTACCCGTAGTTCTCCAGACTTAGACTCTTGTTTGTTTATGATGGTATTTGTGTTTCACTAAGAGAGATACAGCCAAAACATGCAATTAGCATTTTCTTATTTCCACTTTTCTTCTTTTCTCCAAAGGTGTCCTTTGCAGCTCACATCGCAGGTGGATTTGCTGGAATGTCCATAGGTTATACTGTGTTTAGCTGCTTTGATAAAGCACTGCTGAAAGATCCAAGGTTTTGGATAGCAATTGCTGCTTATTTAGCTTGTGTCTTATTTGCTGTATTTTTCAACATTTTCCTGTCCCCAGCAAACTGACCTGCCCCTAATTTAAGCCCAATAATAAAAGAGCCATATGAGGGAGAAATGGAAAACTTTATGAAGAAACAGAGTTCCAGCAAATGCTAACAGTTTTATAAAGAGTATAAAACAACACCTAACTCATCAGTTGCAAGCAAGGACTACTTACCAAAGGGCCTTCTGATTAGAGGAAGAACCTTCTGAATGCCAAGAGCAGGAAGAGAAAGAAAAAACACTAGTAGTAAAAACCAGAGATTGGGTCTTCCAGGCACATGGTATGCATGGATAAATTCTATAAAAGAGAACTGGCTTTACTTGGAGGACATACTTTGGAGACTGTTTCATAGAATCCATGGATACTGTACTATGTGAAAAATAAAAACTTTTCATATCTGTGTTATACTCTTGATATACTTTTTTTTTTTTTTTTTGTACTAGGAACTGAACCCTGGGATTACCCAGACCTTGGGCATACTAGGCAAATGTTCTACCACTGAGTTACATCCCCAGCACTTTTAATTTTGAGACAAGAGTCTCACTAAGTTGCCCAGGGTGGCCTTGAACTTGTGATCCTCCTGCCTCAGCCTCCTGAGAAGCTGGCATTATAAGCATGTACCATTGTGCCCAGATAAAGTATAGGTTTTAACAAGATTAAGATACATGTATTGCTCTGTAACTTGCTTTACAATATGACAGCGATCTTTCTGTATCAGTTCATAGAGACCTTTGTTCTCTGAGTTGAATGATACAGATAGTCCATAGTTAAACCATTTCTTTATTGGACTTTTAAATTGTGCTAGTTTTGTATGGTTACCAAGAGTGAATGTCCTAGTATATGCAGTATATTTTTAAGTGTTTGCTGAATGAATATTTCAAGTATCCAGTAGAAATGTTAATTGTGATAGATTTAAATTGCTCTTTGAGTATTTGTATCCAATTATATTCTTACCTAACATATACAAGTTTTCCTCTACTTTGAAAAAAGATATTTGAAATCTTGAAATTTTTGCATTTTGATAGTTAGAATATAATGCTTTATTTGAATTTATCTCTGACTACTGAGGATGAGTATTTTAAAGTTACCAATAATTATATATTACACAGCATATATGTTTTATAATATATAAACATTAATATACACATAATGTAAACAAGAATATATGTATATAATTGTTCCCTTGATGAAATGTTTCTGTTTAATCTAAAAAGTAGCTTTTCAGGGGAGGAATATTTATCTGCCATGGCCAATGCACCAGGTCACTAGCTCTGAAGAGACCTGTTTAATGACCTGAAGTACAATGTAATTGTTAGTAGAAAACTAGAGAGAGCAACAGAATTTATCTAACCATAAAATCGAACATAACCCATTGATTATGGGCTGATGATGAAGTTATTATCTATTAAGAAAGAAAGATTCTTTTGGTACTAGAAATATGGGTTACATAACCAAAAATAGTGATGTTTTATTGGCAAAAATTACAGTAAAAACACATACAAATATCTCCTGATGTCTTAAATTTGACATCTCTGAATTACAGAGGAACCATTTATTTAGTTTAATTTGGAGCTCATAATGCTCTTCTAGATTGTATTTTACTATTAGGAATTCTTTAATAATTTTTTATCAGTGCATAATAATTAGACATATTAGTGGGATTTGTTGTTACATGTTCACATATGTATACAACATAATGTGGTTAGTTTCATTCCCTGGAAGCATTCTTTATCTGTGATGTCCAACAAAGTAGCCACTATGTACATGTAGCTCTTTAAGTTTCTATTAAACAAAATTAAAACTTCAGTTGCTGTCATACACAAACTAGACTGCAAGTGTTCAATTGCTGCATGTAGCGGGTGACTACCTTATTGGACAAAGCAGAAAGAGAATATTTCCAATGTTGCAGAAGTTAGTTCTATTGGCTAGTGCTGTTGTAGAATGAGCAGAAAGGGAAATGGATTTTAGTTGCTAGCTGACTCATCCATGGCGCTGAACTGACCAGAATCTGCTGTATACCTCAAAGGGATGCTTTCAGAGAAGCTGAAGACAGCCATGGTATAACTTCTAAGCATGATGTGCTTCTCAGATTTATCAAAGCTTAAAAAGGTTTGTGTTAATCTCTCTCTTAGCTAATTAAGAAATAATTGTTTGAAATGTTTTTAACTTTTGCTTTTGAATTCTGTGGAACTGTATGTATGTGTACTAGTTTTCATATCATTTGTCATGAAAGTTTTAATTTATAATTAAATTATACCATTCCTTCTTTTAGGAAATACTATGTTTTATACTTTAAGGGGAAAAAATATTTCCTTTTATGATTATAATAGTAAAGGGCTCATGGTAAAACATTAAAAAACAAAAATATAAAAAAATTAAGTCAATTTTAATTCCATTATCCAGAGATAATCTGTTAATATTTTGACAGATATCCTTCTAGAGTTTTTTATATGCATTACTCTACATATAAATAAATTTATAATAGTGGACTATACTATTTTGAATTGCACTGAAACAAAATGTTAAATGTCTTTTTATGTTAGTATACATTTATCATTTCTACTGGCTGCCTGATATCACACTGTGGATGTATCATTATTTATTTAACCAATCTTTCTTGGATGGATAATTATTTTGGATGTTTTTAATTCATACTATTATAAATAACAATAATAACATCCCAATTTACATTTTAAAAGTCAGAGAATACTATTATTAATATAATACAGTCAATATAAAATTTTTCTATCAGGAATATGGCTAAATTTTAGACAACTGCTGCTTTTGTAAGTTTTATTAACTGTACAAATCTTTAAAAAACTAGAGACTCTAGAACCAAAAAGCTAAAACTATCACTATTCAACATTCCTAAACTTAAATGACCTTTTTTAAAAGATGAGGTTGAATTACCTTTTTTTCAAATATTTTTTTTAGTTGTAGATGGACACAATACCTTTATTTATTTTTATGTGGTGCTGAGGATCAAACCCAGTGCCTCACACGTGCAAGGCATGGGCTCTACCAGTGAGCCACAACCCCAGCCCCTTAAATGAACTTTTAAGAGAAAACATGATCTCTTGTTGTTTCTTTCATGAAAATTTCAAGTATGTTTAAGAGGAAAAATAGTGGTTAGGAAAGATAGTTAAGAACTGACTCTAGAGCCACACTGATGGGTTTGAATGCCAGCTTCAGCTGTGTGACCTTGGCAAATTAAGGCATGCCTCAGTTTCTGCATCATACAGATAAAATGGGATAAATAACAAATGAGTGAAATAGCCACCTCATAAGATCTTTGTGATGAATCTATCAGGATTTTTGTGATGAATGTATCTTGTAACTATAGTATCCTAGTATTTTCTTTGATTGTGTATTATTTCCCTTTATATAAAGGACACAGGACATACATTTATATGTTTTAAATGAAAGGGAATGAAAACATTCATTATTTCTATCTTTCCTTTGTGGAAAGCCTAAGATAGCCTTCATAAATATTATATGGAATTTATTGGCCAATAATCCAAGTAGCTAAATTCTAATTTGTCCCACTGTTCTCTCCAAGAAAGAAGCTACATCTTAAAGAGATAAGACATTGTTACAATATTTTCTATAATACCATCACCACCCCAGTGATGAATTTATTTCATCCCATTCCTAATAATATTTTAGTACCATACAACAGCTGAGAAATTTTAGAGTGCATTTTAATATGATAAAAATTTATAAATTTTTTATAGCAAAGTGTAAGAATTTTATATTCATAAATATTACTGGAATTGATTTCTAAAAATGCTCAACAACTGCCAGAAAGAAACCAGAATTTAGATATTCAAATGTGTATTAAAAAACTAATCTAAATTCAGGCTAGGGATGTGACTCAGTGGTAGAGTGTCTGCCTAGCACGTGTGAGGACCTGTGTTCAATCCCCAGCACCACAAACTAAATAAAACAAGACAAAACACAAAACAAAACAAAACAAAAAAACATTAATCTAAATTCTTATTGCAAGAGCCAGGTTATTTCCTCTGGTTTCATTAAATGCTGTATTTTATTGAATTATCAGATGAAGCACATTCATTTTTCCTGAGTATAAATGAAAATTTACAATCACTTAGGTTGTAAACTCTTATGTAAAATAATCTTAATAGGTTTGTTTGTAAGATCAAGTCAGTATTTTTAGGACTGTCTCTAAGAGTTCCCAGTTAAAGAAAATTAAACAAGATACTTAAGCTAAGTAAGATGACTTATGATGGGAATCTCAGAATTCTATTTTTATTTTTTATTTATTTTTTGGTGGGGCTGGGGATTGAACCCAGGGCCTCATGCATGTTAGGCACACATTCTACCACTAAGCTACATCACTAGCCCAACAATTCTGTTTATAATATATACATGCTTCCTCTAGGTATCACCTTTTTTTTTTTTTGCACTGTAATATCGAAACAAAATTCTTTTAAACGCCTCACATCTAAAATACATTCTTTGTGGCAGATTGTTACTGCTATCTAGGGAAAAAAAGTAAAAAATCAGCACATGGAAAGAGTGATGATTTGTTCATATTTTGGCCATAGGTTTGCTTTAAGAAACAGTGCTCCCTTCAGAATGGAAGAATTTATCTGCCTCCTGTTTGATGGGGTTCAGAGCTAAGATGGCTGAATAAATAAGCATGGGGGACTGGAATCTCCTTGGAGGCATTCTGGAGGAAGTTCATATTCACTCCACCATGATTGGAAAGATCTGGCTCACCATATTATTCATATTTCGAATGCTTGTTCTGGGAGTAGCAGCTGAAGATGTCTGGAATGATGAGCAGTCTGGCTTCATCTGCAATACACAACAACCAGGTTGCAGAAATGTATGCTATGACCAGGCCTTTCCTATTTCCCTCATTAGATACTGGGTTCTGCAGGTGATATTTGTGTCTTCACCATCTCTGGTCTACATGGGCCATGCTTTATACCGACTGAGAGTTCTAGAGAAAGAGAGGGAGAAGATGAAAGCTCAATTAAGGAGAGAACTGGATGGGATAGAGTTTGAAATGCCTGCAAATCAGAGGAGATTAGAGCAAGAGCTCTGTCAGCTGGAACAAAGGAAACTAAATAAAGCTCCGCTCAGAGGAACCTTGCTTTGCACTTACGTGATACACATTTTCACTCGTTCTGTAGTTGAAGTTGGGTTCATGATTGGACAGTACCTTTTATATGGATTTCACTTAGAGCCTCTATTTAAATGCCATGGTCACCCATGTCCAAATATAATCGATTGTTTTGTTTCAAGACCAACAGAAAAGACAATATTTCTATTTTTTATGCAATCCATAGCCACTGTTTCACTTTTCTTAAACATTTTAGAAATTTTCCACCTAGGTTTTAAAAAGATTAAAAGAGGGCTCTTGGGACAATATAAATCGAAGAATGAACACAATGAATTCTGTGCAAAGTCAAAACAAAGTCTAGCCAAATATCAGAGCACATCTGCAAATTCACTGAAACGACTCCCTTCAGCACCTGATTATAATCTGATAGTGGAAAAACAAACACACAGAGTAGCATACCCAAGTTTAAATTCATCTTCTGTATTTCAGGCAGATCCTGACAATCATGACATAAATGATGAGAAAAGCATTTTGGATGAACAGGAAACTAATGAGATGTACACACTTAGTACTACTTGCAGTCACCCTCAACACATCAGCTCAAAAAATAACAAAGACACTCATAAAATATTTAGAAAAGAAGTTAATGGTAACCACTTGCAGGAAAAAAAAGAAGTTGATGGCAAAGAGAGCAAAAAGAACCATTATTCTAGAGATCACTGTTCTATTCCAGGTATTGCTATAGATACAGACAACCACATGGGGCAGTCACCCCACACAACTTTCTCCCTGGCAGCAGACTCCTGCACCTGGAAACCTCGGTGGCTCAGTACTACGTGGGGTCCCTCTACAGAAGATGCAAACCAAGGGTCATCTCCTATAGATAACCTCCAGGGCCAGTTCAGAGAGGGCACTATCAGAAACCTTCCTCCTTCACAGAGAGACTTCCAACCACTTGACATTCCAAACACTTCTGATTCTTTGGGAGAGTGGTCCTTTGAGTCAAAGTTTATTAGAACCTGCAACAATTCTACGGATTGTCCTCCAAATCATTTAATGTCCTTGACAAACAACTTCATTGGTAGGAGGGTTCCAACAGACCTTCAGATCTGAACCGTTGTTGCTTTTAGATATTCTGCATATTATGTCATCAGAGTAGTAACAGTGGTGGTGGAACATGGAGAAAATAGATAAGGATATTTCTAAAGACCAGCTGTTGTGATAGACAACTGCAAACTCATTTCAGAAATGAAAAACAGCTCTAATTCTGAACTGTGAAGGGGGAAGTTCTAAATTCAAAGACGTAGGGTAGCCAAATTAGGATGTATTTTTTAGTCTCCCTTAAAAATATGCGAAACTGACTTGGGAAAATCACATGCTCTGATTCGATCCTAAATGGTTTGGGATCAGGTTTTTCTCACAGCCTTAGAAAATTGTTCTTGATCTATGTAATTACTCCTTTTAGTTACTAATCCTTTATTTTGGATACTAGGTTAATGTTGTTTGCCCTGGGATTTAATAACTTAGTTTCTTTATAAACTGCAAACTGATGTGTGTTGAATATAACCATAATATTGCTATCTAGTAAATAAAATATTGAAAAAGATGCAAGACTTTCTCTCACCAGTACATAGCATCGTGATTCACATTCTGGATTGGAGTCTTTCCTGGCTCTCCTATTCACTGGTCACGTAACCTAGTCATGTCATTTTACTACCATACTTACCTACAAAGATGTTGTGAGAATTAAAATAAAAAAAAAGGAAAGAAAGAAAAAAGAACTATGTTTAAAACGCACTGTACTTCCTGCACAGTAAGCGCTCAAAAGGTTTTATTAGCACATTAGTGCTGATCCTCCAGAGGGCTACTTCAAGTCAGCCACAAAACAAGGAGACTCCAAATGTAAAACTGGAGCCAAAACATACGATTTAAAAATTGGAAATCCAAGAGTCGTCCTGCTTTGGTCGTGCGTACTTTTTCCAGATGAGAGCCAAAAAGTCCAACACACACAGGTCACCACAGATTCGAAGACCTGGGTTCGAAGGGCGCGCCCACTACAAGTAGGGCGATCTATCCTCCTCCGAGGGTGTTAAGCTCCAGGACCCCGAAGGCCCCGCCCTCGGGCACCACGCCCACTCCGGGCTCTACCTGGACGCTTACAACGAGTTGCCAAACCCTCGCCTCTTCGCTAAGCAACCGAACCGCCCTGGGGACCGGAAGAGGAAGGAAAGGCGCTACTCCGACAGCCAGAGGGGCGGGCGTACGCAGTCTCCCTCAGTTCTGCCGGCGCCTGGGGATGCTGAGCGTCCTGGTCGCCATGAAAACAGGCCACACCCCGGTGATGCCGGCCCGTGGTTCGCAAGTGCGCAAGCGCGCGCGCCCTCCGCGCATGAGCAGTGCTCCTCCAAGCCCGCCAGCCACGGTCTCCGGCGCCAGCTACGCCGCGGCCGCTGTCACTATGGCCCATTACAAAGTGAGGGGGGCGCGGCGTGGCTGGGGGAGTGCGGGCGGTAGCCAGCCGCTGGTCGGCTCCGGGTGGGAGATGGGGGCGCGTGCAGGTTTCGGGGGCCTGAGGCAGCGAGGCGGAGGTGGGGTTGCCAGACTCTAAGCGCCTTCTTCCTGCTCTGGCCCCCGGACTCAGGTCACTGACCTGCGGTGTCTCCTCAGGCCGCCGACTCGAAGCGCGAGCAGTTCCGGAGGTACTTGGAGAAGTCGGGGGTGCTGGACACGCTGACCAAAGGTAAGCATGGCTAGGAGAGGGTTTCACGTGCCCTCGGCGCGGTGCCCCTGACGGGCCACGGCGTGGGGAAGGAGGGGGAACAGGTGGGGCCCGTCTAGGGTCCAGAGAAGAGTGCTTGGGAATGAGCGGGACCGGCTCGCTCTGGCTGCCAGACGCTGCTTGGTGGGATAGCCTAGTTCACGCTATCGCTCTCAGCGCGGGGAGTGAAACTCTTGCAGCTGTTGCAAAGTCTCTCCAACTTCCGTTGCTTTACCTCGAGCAGCCGCAGTGAATATGTTTATTGAAGACCGTGAGGTCCCAATTCCTTCCGCTTTACCGAGTTTGCAGAGTCCTCAGAATCTTAAGAAATATTTTCCCTCCAACAAAGAGCAACTTGAGAAATTAGCAGATTTGAAAGTGGGCTATAAAGTAGTTGAGTGAGGCTTATCCCGAAGTAAGTGATTCATAGATACTGTGGCTTTTCAATTCCCTATTTCTTAGTCTATAGCAATTCCTATTTTGTGTATAGGACGCTTCATAAATAGTTATATTGTTTACGCTTTTAAAAATGGAAGTTTACTGTTACACTGTTACATCTCTTTCTTCCTGGATTCAAGATCTAAGTAGACAAGGAAGGTGCTTGAAACAGGATTCCAAGAGATAGTGAAGTACTGCTTGCTTAATTAGCTCAGCTGTAATCTGAATGCCTGTTATATATTGCTCTATGCATTGACTGGGATTTTCAAAGATGATGGAATCCTGGCAGGGGTGCAGACATGGATCCATAAGAAAATGAGAAATGACTGGATAATAATATCTGCATTTTGTGCAGAAATAAAGGTTAGGGGAAAATTCTGGGAGAACTCCTGGGTCTAGCAGAAAGCAGGCCTTTTCATTCCCATGCATGGATATGTTGGCAATTTTGAATTGCTTCTTGTCTAGGTTCAATTAGTAGTTTCCCTCCATCTTTGCAAATAATAAGGAGATACTCTGAAAATGCTGTGCTATGTTGTCTCCCCAAGTATCATAGATGCTTGGAATTTCATTCCTTAGGAAACCCCATACAGTCCCTTTTTTCATTTAAGCAATTAATAGGTGTCTATTCTAGACAGTGGGGCTAGCAATGGAAAAGAAAGAGTTCTTGCCCTCATGAGCTTGCATCCTGGTTGGGGAGACAGATAATCAAGAAATACAGAGTGTCAGCTAGTGGTAGTGTTATAATTTAAAACTGATACCAATGTTAGAAGATAAAAAGGTGATGGGTAGGATTTGTGTGCCATTTTACACAAGGTAATGGGGGAAAGGCCTTTCTTATGAAGTAACTTTTGAGCAGAGATCTGAATGAGCTAAGTATGTTGTCAAGAGTTCCAGGAAATACAGGTTGAGCATCTCTAATCAGGATATCTAAAATTCAAAATACTACAAGATTTGAAAAATTTTGAGCACTGACTTGATGCTGCAAGTGGAAAAATCCACTCCTGACTGCATGTGACATGTATATACATACCTTCAGGCTATGTATATGAGGTGTGCATGAAGTATAAATGAATTTTGTGTTTACTCTTGGGTCCTACTCCCCAAATATCTTATTATGTATATGAAAATATTCCAAAATCTGAAAATATCAGGTAATTGGTGCCAAGCATTTTGGATAAAGAATACTGAAACTGTACATGGTGGCTAAAGTGAGTGAAAGACAGATGGTAAAAGGCAAAAAAGTGACAGTTGTAGAAGATGACTGACCAGAGAGAAGATGCACAGCCTTGTGACTATACAAGGATTTTCCTTCATGAGAGAGATCCCTGGAGGCTTCTTATCCCTGTTCACACCCACAGAAATGTAACCCTTCAATCTCCTTAGATAGCCAGTCTTCTAAATAAACATCAGAAAACATAGTATCTATTGACAAGATTTATGTAAAAATTTATTTTCATCTTTAAACAGATATTTCACACACAAACATTTATCTATTTATTTTTGAGGAAATACTGGGGATTGAACCCAGTGCCTTGTGCATGTGAGGCAAGCATTTTACTGACTGGGCTATATACCCAGCCCCTCAAATTTATATTTTTTACCCCATTATTTCCAAGAGGATTTGAAATTGCTTATGACATTAAAACACTATAAGAAAATCATTTAGAAGAGGTGGCATTTTAGATGTTTTGAGCACTATTTTAACCTCCAAAAAATCCTGGTTAAGGGGCTGGGGTTGTGGCTCAGTGGTAGAGCACTTGCCTAGCATGTGTGAGGTGCTGGGTTTGATTCTCAGCACCACATAAAAATAAATGAGTAAAATAAAGGTCCATCAACATCTAAAAAATATATATATTTTTAAAAATCCTGGTTAAGGCAAAAGGGGAACATGATTTGATATAGACTTGTCTGAATAGAAGGATGTGTATTAATTCATAAGAAAACTCAGGAAACTTAGCATTTACATTATGTTTTGCATTTATCAACCTTGTAAATATCACTGACAGAAATTTAGAAACTGAAAGAAATGGAGTGGGAGAAGAAATGGGGAAGGGTAGGAGCACTGATATTCATGTCTTGTAAAGTTAGGAATTCAATAGAGATCAGTAGAAATGAATGGAAGAAGAATTAGGTTTGAGCATTTAATTTAAAGAAAAAGGTAATAAACAGGAATTAGAGTACTGTAAAAGACAATGAAAGGAGAGAGGAGAATCTGAGAGGACAGTAGTGTAAATATACCAACTTCCCCCAAAATACAGTGTATTTCAGCGTTGTTAAAAGTAGTTGCACATTTGAATTTTTCATACTGTTATTTTAAATTAATAAAGCTGTAAAAACTAAAAGGAACACATACAAATTAGTTTAGAACAGGACTTATTAACTTAGAGTTTATATATGTATATTTTTCTTTTTGTATGGAGTTATGTTTTTTGCTTTCATCGAATTTTTCAAAGGGTTCCATGCACAAAACAGTTAACCACTGGTTTAGAGATTTTTTTTTTTTATCTGAATACAAAATTCCAGGAGGTACTCATTCAATACAAGATGATCAACATAGTCCTCACATGAGTTATTAGATATGAAACTACTGTAGTATATATTTTAATGCTGATTTGAGCAAGTGGTTACTGGCAACGTTTTTGGTTGGTGTTTTTTAGCATATTGTGTATGATACTTCATTCTTGAACATTTTGAAATGAAAGCTTCTTCAAGTAATTACCACAGCCTTACTCTTTCCTAAAGTTTTCTTAAATTTATTTTTTCCCCATAATTCTATCTAGTGCAGGTTACTGCGTTTAATTGGATTACTACATCTACCTCTTAACTGTTGTTCTTCCTGCCATTATCCTTGACCCACTTCAGTCGGTCTTCCACTGAAGTGGATCCTGTAACTAAAGGCCAACAAAACTTACATGACCCTCTGTAGTCTGGCCCCTGACCACCTTTCCAGCCACATTACCCATAACTCCATCCAGCTGTACTTGATATGTCAGTTTTAGGTCTATCCTTCCCTTAGGATGCCTTCTTTGTTTGATGCCCAATTCTTTCAGTGTGCTCCCAAATGTACTATTTAGCATTGCTGCTTGATACTCTTTCTTGTCTAATTCCTTACTTTAGCATTGAACTGTAAATTAGTTGGGAGCAGGGACTTTGTTCACCACTGTATGGACAGTCTTAGCAGTGTGCTTGGCACTTAGATATGGAATATAATTTCTGCCATTCAAATTTAAGACTTTAATTGTTGCTCTTTCTGCTTTTTGATTTGCAGTGTTGGTAGCCTTATATGAAGAACCAGAGAAACCTAATAGTGCTTTGGAGTATCCTTTTCATCTTTGAAGTCAGAAAAAGGCCTTATTATTGAAATTCTTATTTTTTCACATACATTATAACCTTTAAAATACTTTTGCTTATTGAAAAGGTTATTTTCCTTTTTGTTTTTTTTAAATATTTATTTTTTAGTTATAGTTGGACACAATATCTTTATTTTATTTACTTGTGTTTATGTGGTGCTGAGGGTTGAACCCAAGGCCTCGCACGTGCTGGGTGAGCACTCTACTGCTGAGCCACAACCCCAGCCTTCCATTCTGTTTTTTGACAATGATATCTTGGTAAATCTTGGTGGGTGGTTGATTATGGTCTTGGATATTGATTCTATTCTGGGCTAGTTCATTAATTCCATTCAGCTTTAAGAAGTAAAGTTCTTAACATTGATATTAGTTTTTTAAAGCATCACTTAGGAGCTGCTACCCCAGAAAATCCAGAAATAGAGTTGCTCCGCTTAGAACTGGCAGAAATGAAAGAAAAATATGAAGCTACTGTAGAAGAAAATAAAAAACTGAAAGCAAAGGTAAATTTTTAAGGAATTCATGTTAAAAATACATTTTCCTCTAGTGATTATATGATCATAACCTCACTAAAATGCACAACTGGGGAAGGAGGAGGGTGAATATCAATGTGAATCAAATGCAAGGCAAACTTATGCCCATCTAGAAAAGTCACAAGACAGACTGTACATAGAATAAGCAAAGTGTGGTCAAGAAGAGGTTCTTGGGAACCTGCATCAACAGAAAGATAGAAACATTGGTTAAGGCTGCTTTTAAGCAAATGGATAATTCTAAAATTCTTAGTTTAGGTCAGTTTAGGGGCACTGCTTGTAAATGGTACTTCCTAGAGTTGTGCAGTGCATAATCTGCACTGTCATTTGGTAGCCCCTGTGTTAACAAATTTACAGAAGTAAATTGCACTTAATTTTATCTAGGCTTATATTATTTTCTTTGTTCCAACTCCCACAAGAACTTGCAAAAACTTCAAATCATCAACTAAGCCTTTGAGATTTTACTGCATTCTGAATCACATAGTACATTTTATGTTACTCTAGGTATTTCTCATAATGTGTTTTATGATCTCAATAACTCTGAGATAAGTAAAATAGGTACTCAGGCCATTTTATAGGTGAGGGAATTTAAAGCACAGTGAAGTTAACAAACTTTTCAAGTATGACACCTAATTGGAAGAGTACAAAACTTAACCAGGTTAAGGAAGCACAACTTAATATATTAAAGAAAATGCAGTATCTTAAATTATCTGAGATTCCATACTAGGCAAGTGCTAGTAAATTCTGGTACCTTTTAAATCAAAGACATTAGTTAACTTTTTTTTGTTTTGTAAGTCAAAGACATAGACTAGCCATATTAATACTCATTACATAACTCTTTCCCCTCTACTTTTTTTTGTTGTTGTTTTGAACCCAGAGGTGCTTTACCATTGAGCCACATCCCTAGCCCTTTTTTGTTTTTGGACAGGGACTGGCTTAGTTGCTGAGACTGGTCTTGAAATAGAGATCCTCCTGTCTTAGCCTCCCAGATCACTGGGATTACAGGCATGCATGACCACACTGGCTTCCTCTACTTTTTAGGGGAAATTTCAGTAAATTTTTGGTGGAGTGGAAGAAAGTTCCTTATTATAAGGCATAGTATCTTTATGAAGACTTAGATTATTGTATAACAAGTACTTGAACAGTTCAGTCATGAACTGAAATTGTAGTTTCTCAGGAACATTAAATGTTTAAATGAAAAGGGCTTTCATTAGGTTTGATTATATTAAATCTTAAATTACTGTTTTAGAAATCATAGTTTCTATAAACTTATTACTGATTCAGAAGCTAAATTGAATATAATAAACTCATTTTGTTTTATTAACTTTTTACCCAATTTAGAATAAAATTCACCTAAACTCCTCTGTCTTTACCCCATAGCTTGCTCAGTATGAACCACCTCAGGAGGAGAAGCGTGCTGAATAGGATTCTTCTCAGTTGAAAAGACACTGAAAAAATGGTTTTGTATGACTTGAATAGTTTGTATAGTATATAATCTTTTCTGAACAGATGCTATAAAACTCTTTTAATATGTTAAATTCACACTTCAACTGTTATAAACACATATACTTAGAATCACCAATAAAAACTCAATATAACTTGCTTTGGGTCTTAAAGCAGAAGAATCCAAAGTGAATCCTGAAAAAAAAAAATTAAACAGCCATCTAATTCATTAAAAGATTTCTATTTATTAGTCTGATTAGGAATAATGGTACTAGTTGTATTTTAGCCAAGGAAGATTAGCATGGAGGTATTCCTTGGTTTAGTTCAGGATATAAGAATAGATAGAATCATTCTCGACAATGAAGATGACAGAGTTTATATTCTCTTTAGGCAACTGGAGAGATCTGTGTGACAAGATGCTTTTGCATGGGTTCCCACGAATCATCTTCTCTTATTTATATAATGCAGAACAAATAACTCTTCTTTGCCACCACTTTGCCTTAGATAACTGTGTGTGTGTCAGTTTAACTCTGACACCACGTTTTCCTTCTATGCAATCATGCCCTATCTGATAATGTTGCCTTGTTTTGCTGTGTGCTTTATTGGGTCCTAGTTGCACATTAGCCTGTCTGTTTTTCAATTTGATTAATAATGCAGTTACCCTGATTGTAATTTATATAATTTTAAACAGGATCACACTATTACCCTGCCTTACTTAGTTGCTTAGTTGAGCACAGAAGTAATATAAAATTCTGGTTCATGCACAAACTGGAATGAGAAGAGGAATGAGCCATATATCATGGGCAATGTTGGGTATAATTATATAGTGGTTTTTCCCTCAAAGTATTTTTCTAATTTTCAGTTCATTTTATCTTCATTATTCCTGTGAAGTAGGTAGGGCAAGTATGAGGGGAGGTTGGGCACTGAATTTTTAGGCCAAAGACTGATATTACAAAACTATTTGCTAACTACAGAACCTTGGGCACATCAGTTAACTGCTCTTAGATTCACTTTCCTTATCTGTTAATTGAGAAGAATGTCTGTGCTGCCTACCTCACAGGGTTGTTGTGAGGGTCAAATGAGAATGTATGTGAAAGATTTGTAAATGGTAAACCACTATATTCTTGTTTGTTAGTCTTTTTCCTTTTCTTTTGGAAGACTTAGTCTTTTTGTTTTGTTGTATTAATCACTTATTTTCCTCACTGATAGACTGGCATTTTGAAGAAGTGTTCCTATTTCATGTATTCCATCCCTATTGTTAGAGAACCTGTCTTTATTCAAAACACATCCAAAGCAAGCTGGTTTAACTAGCAAAGACACTGACACCTGCTGAAAACTGACCAGGCCAATTATATGGGCATTTAAATCAGTTGTGTTGACAGCAATGTGGCTGATTTGTCTCTTCTAGTCACAAGTTTGTTTTTGGAGAATGCCAGATACTACTGGAAGAATATTTACTTGGATAGATTTCTCTTCTTCTTTTTGGAGTGCCTTCTACGTGGACAGCAGCAGCTAAGGGCTGGGTGTAATAAAAATGAATGACTTGAAGTAGTTTATAAAACAGGTACATAAACAAGCAGTTGATATGGCAGCAGTCCCTTTGTGGATACAGACAAGAACATTTTTTTTTTTTTTTTTCTGGCAGCAAACCCTCTTGTTTTTTTAGTATTACTATTTATGTCAACAAATTAGTGATACTTTCTTGTACCATCCCTTTGGACAGAATGGCAACATATGGGTTGGATAATCACACCTTAAGTGGAAATGCCCTGCTTTTAACTGCTGTACCATCCAGTGATGTTTCAGAATTTGGGGTCAGCCTGGCTTCTGGAGAGCCTCTTCAACATTTCTATCAAGGATTTGGATGAAGACTGTGTATATACTCAATGGATTAGAAAATGGATCTCTTCAGTCCTGCTATACTTCAGCTGACTTATCTATAAAATATAGATTTCACATCTTGCCTACCTCACAAGGTTATTGTTAGGATCAAATTAAATATCATGAATGTAACAAGTGCCTTCAAAACTGCAAAAGAATTACATACAGATCAGGAGGTAATAATGCCAAATGTGTGAGTGCCGCAAAATTGGAAGGGCTGGTTGGTAGACAATATTGGAATAAATTTTAAAATGGTTATCTATCTAGAGTACCCAAATGCTGGGCCCAAACCACAAGTTGAATATCAAATCTTAGAAATGTAGTTATACTAGTTTAGGAAATAAGATTGCCAACAAAATAGTTCCAGTGATGGCCAGTGTGAACTACTTATATTCTGTAGATACTTAAAAAAAAAAAAAATCCATTCTGGAAAGGATTAGGGGAAAGAATACTGTGTGGCTCTGTAAGTGCCAGACATTGGAAACTTGAATGCATATAAAGGAAGAACAGCCAATAGGGAAAGGGGATTTGAAAATATAAGGCTGTGCTGTTCAATATGGTTGCTATTAGCTGCATGTGGCAGTTAAAATTAAATAAAAATAATTCAGTTCCTTAGTCACACTGGCAATGGGTCTAGTGCTCAATCCACATGTGGCCAGTGGCTACCATACTGAACAGCAGAAATTCAGAACATTTCTATCATTACAGAAAGTTCTATGGAACAGTTCCATAGAAGGAATAGTTGAGAGAACTTAAGATGTTTAGTGTGGAACAGAGAAGACTGTCTTGGTGGGTTAATGAAGAGCAGTTTAATATTTGAAGGGCCGTTATGAAAACATTATATTGTGTTCCATTTTAGGCTTCAGAGTATGATTATTGACTTGAATAAGAAAGTTTTAAGCAAAACTCTACCCCAATGGAATGGCTGCCTTTTGAGAAAGTGAGCTCTCCTCCTTTGGAATATAGTCCTAGATGTGCATGAAGTGTACTCTGCCTTCATAATATGCCTTGGAAAACCACCCCAACCTTTTAAAAACGTGTATGGCTGTACTTTGTTGTCAAATTTCCTTCTAGAGACTGAAAAGCAACAATTCTTGTATTTTTTCTCAAACATTCTTGGTAACCAACATTTGCTTTAGTGTGCTTCCGTTATTCTTTCCCTGGGTCTCTAATCCGAAAAGATCAGAGAAGCAGCGTTCTACGGTGGTGGTGGTGGTGGAATTACTGGAGAAGTAAAGTTTTGACTATGTGGGAAGGACAGGAAATTGAGTCCTGCTGAGTTTGAAGTGGTAGCAGCTTTCACTACCAGCTATTTGCTGAAGAAAGAAAGTCTACCTTGGTTGCATTTGCTTTCCTATCACGGTCCTACTACTTGCTAAATGAAGCTATCACACCCACCCATGACTGCCTTGGTTGAGGCTTTGCCTTCCAGCTGGCTCATCCTTCATACTTCTGCTCACCCCAACTGCATCCATCCGTCTAGACCTACTCAGACACCAATTCTCCCGCATTTCATCTGTGCCTAAGGCATTCCCACACAATATCTCATGCCGAGGCTACTTACACAGAGGTCCGATCTCTTAAATCTTCAAGCAGTTGTGAGGGCAGGCAGGTCCAAGTCGGTTCCAGTTTCAAACCCCTTGTTAGATACTCAGGACGTCACAGGCATCAATAAGTATCGGTTCCGCGAGTACAATTGGAGGAGGAGGACAATCGGTTCTTCCCCTAAAGCAGAGCATCTCCCCTTGTGGTGCTCTCGAGAGCTCGGAAGAAGGTAGAGAAACTGAGGAGCACTGTGCGTGCAGGGCAGGACCAAGGTGCGTGCAGGCTGGGCCCCGGGCAGAGAGACAGAGCCCGGCGAGAGGCGCGGCAGGGCCGCCCTCCTCGTGACTCCTCCTCCCCCCTCTGCTGCTGGGAGTCAGGTGATTCTGGGCACATGACGGGCACCACCTACCCTGCTGCTTCCGAGTGGCGGCTCGGGCAGCCAATGAGGGGTTGGACCCCAGCTCGGGGCCTATGAGAGTCGGGCTGTGCGGGGGGGCGGGCCGGACGGCGGCGGCTGCCGGGGGCGGGGGCGGTGGCAGCGGCGGCGGCGGCGGCCTGGGGAGGCGGCGGCCTGGCCTGGCCTGGCCTGTCAGGGCGCGGGCGGCGGCGGTCCAGCACCATGTCCCTGCAGTACGGGGCGGAGGAGACGCCCCTCGCCGGTAGTTACGGCGCGGCGGATTCGTTCCCAAAGGACTTCGGCTACGGCGTGGAGGAGGAAGAAGAGGAGGCGGCGGCGGCGGGCGGCGGGGTTGGGGCGGGGGCCGGCGGCGGCTGTGGCCCGGGGGGCGCTGACAGCTCCAAGCCGAGGATTCTGCTCATGGGGCTGCGGCGCAGCGGCAAGTCCTCCATCCAGAAGGTGAGTGGAGCCGTGCCGGGTCCTCCCGCCCTCCCTCCGCTCCCCTCCAGGGGCTCAGGTGGCCGCAGGCGTGGAGGCCCGGAGGAGGGCGGCGGCTGCGCTGGCCTAGCGCTGGGTCCCAGCGCACTTTCTCTTGCACTTCTGCGAGCGAGCGCGGAGCCAGAGGCGCGGCGGGACCCCCACCTCTGCGTCCACACCCAAGTCAGCTGAGGCCGAGTGGGTCGCCGAAGGCGAAACTGACTGGAGAGAGGCAGGTGCGCGGTGGCACCGCCCTAGACCTCCGCCACTGGGACACAGCCCCTGTGGCATTGACGGGGCGAGACGTATTCTCCAGATCTCACTTGGAGAACTTGTTGGATTCCCTCGCCTGCCTCATCTCTCTTCAGGTGATCCGAGTTTGCAGGGATTCCCAGCGGAGCCCTAAGGAGCAGCGTCAAAAAGAGTTGTGACTAAGGCACTGGACATTTAAATACTTTGTTACTAGCCTGCAGGAGTCTTGGCTGTAACAGTTTTGGGAATTGGGTACTACCACTGTACCTACTTTAGTACTTGTGACCTGGTGAGTGTAGTTACTCGTGGTATTCTCCCTGTAGGTGTGTACTTAGAAAAATCTTTGGAAACTTTGAAAATGTTTTACAGATATCAGTCCATTTGTTTTCACATTAGATTTGTCGAGAACGAATGGAGGACTGGATACTGTTTGGTAAAGGGGAAAATAGAGGCAGAGTTGACATTTTCCATCCTCATTACACACACAACGAACTTATAAACTAATGTCGCACACACCTAGTCTTTCCCTCTTTCCGCTTGTTGCAGAGGTCTGTCCAAAACAAATGTCTTTGTGGTATTTCGTAGATGTGATGTTTTTAAAATGTAGTCTTCTGAATTAACTTTATTACTGTGTTTTATTTACTTTGCTGCTTACCTCTACAGCGACTTGGGTGTACTTACTGTAGGTTTTTAGCAAACTGATTTTAGCTCTTTTCATTTGTTACAAAACCTTGGAAGTAAACTGTTTTTTCTCTTCTAGGCTGTAACAGTGAGGCAAATTAGTTTTATATTAGGATTGTATGGATTGTGAATACTGTGATTCTTGACAATTGCATTTACCATTTCATTTCTCATGGGAGCTACCTATCACCTGTCAGCTCTGGCAGCCCTCCCCCCCCCCTTGGGTATAATTACTCCCTTTGTTGTATTTCTTCCACAAGACTGCAAACTCAGTGAGGGCAGGATCTGGTATGTTTCATGTTTTTTGTTCCTCAGAGCCTGTGGTAGGCATTGGAGTAATTTTTGAATGAATGAAACTTCTTAAATTTTAGCTACAAAACTTTTGTAATTTTAAAGGAGATTGTGGTGAGTATAGATCCCTACAAAAGCAAGCAAACAAAACCAAAAAACAGTCCCCCCCAAAAAACAAAAAAACAAAACAACAACAATGTAGGCGCCACAGAGTGATACTTCTAGTGCTGAGTATGGTGCAGAGGAAATAGAAAAAAAAAAGTTTCAGCTTCAAAATAGATTGAATGGAAATTGGTTTGGTGTTTTCTTTAGTCATAATTAAAAAGGTAATGAGCACCAATGCATTTATTAACGTTTAGTTTTTACCTTAAGTTTTTTTTGCTACAAGATCAAATTTTTTAATATTAATCCAGGATGGAGTTTTAAATTTAAATTCTGAAGTTGAACAGCCATAAAATTGTCTTGTTTTTCCTAACAGGTGGTGTTCCATAAGATGTCACCCAATGAGACCCTCTTTTTGGAAAGTACCAACAAGATTTATAAAGACGACATTTCCAATAGCTCCTTTGTGAATTTCCAGATTTGGGATTTTCCTGGGCAGATGGACTTTTTTGACCCAACCTTTGACTACGAGATGATCTTCAGGGGAACAGGAGCATTGATATATGTCATTGATGCACAGGTAGTTAGAAATAATGATGTTTACTTCTCTTCCCTGGTGGCAAAAAGATGTAGAAACAACAGAAAGTTGTTTATCTTCTTTGTCGTTTGTGTACAGCTCTTTTCTTTGCCAGTAGATTCCATGACACTGTGATATGCAATTGCAGAGGTGCTTTGGGAACAGGCACGTCATTGCAGTTTGAAAGAATCAGTTGGTTAGGAGATGTAGTTTACATTGTGAGACCTAGTTAATGAGCAGTTAACATTGGCTTTCTGGTAAATTTTGTTACACATTATAATTAGCTACTATAATAGTGCTATAACTCATCAAAAATATCCTGTCAGTGCCCATAGTATAAGATGGACTGTGAGAACTGAGTCAGTATATATTAGAGTGATTAGTTTTCTTAATTGTGCAAGTTGAATTTAGTCCAACAAGCATTTATTGAAGACCTAACCTGTGGCAGGCAGTCAGATGAAAGGTACATGTCGCTATTCTTAGGAAGCTAGCTTTCTATAAGCTTAAATATTAGTTAGGAATGAGTTCTGAGTGATGGACCCTATAATGGATGCTTTCACATGCATGATCTTATTTAATCATCACAACATTGTGAGGTTGGTATTGTAATTCCAGAGTTACGGATGAATAAACTGAGATCACAGAGTTGAAGCAACTTGCTTTAAGTCACACACCTAATAAATGGCAGAGCTGGGATTACTTTAAAAAATGTTGGGAAGAATTGTCCATGTCCCTTTTCCTTTATACTATCAGTATTAAAAATTACAGGCATTAATTTGGGAATTGAATTTTTTATCTTAAGTTGAAGAACTACTTATTAGTATGTTTGAGTGCTTGAATATTTATGAATAATTTAGGATAATATATTTTCTGTGGTTGGGGAAAGAGGTGGTTTGAGGCTTTCTTAACTCATTACTTGCCTTTTGTAAGATTCTTTTTAAAAAAATATTTTGTTCTGACTTACAGGATGACTACATGGAGGCTTTAACAAGACTTCACATTACTGTTTCTAAAGCCTACAAAGTTAACCCAGACATGAATTTTGAGGTTTTTATTCACAAAGTTGATGGTCTGTCTGATGATCACAAAATAGAAACACAGAGGGACATTCATCAGAGGGCCAATGATGACCTTGCAGATGCTGGGCTAGAAAAACTCCATCTTAGGTAACAATATGTGTGTTTGATATGAGAGCCCTGAAAAAACAACATGTGTGTTTGATATGAGAGCCCTGTAGATGTATTCCCATCTCTGTCATTACAGGCACCATAGTTTTCTGTTACTGGTATGCCCATTCCCAGTTCTGAAATGTTTTTGGTCTTCTCTTTGTTGAATTCCAAGCTATCCTGGGAGCCTGGTGTTATTAAGGAGTTACTTTTTACATTTTCCTGGTAATTGAATCCATGTGAAATGTTTCCATTGGTGCTTTTGCAGATTCATCTCAAGAGGCTCTGTTTAGGGATTTCCCCACTCTTGGTTTTTCTCAAACTCTGGCCACCCCCAGCCCCCCTCCAGTTGCCCCAGGCAGGGAATCTCTTGTCACATTTGTTGTGGAAGTCTAGCTTGAGTTTCCATAGTATCTTTCTTAGTAGGAAGAGTCTTTTATAAATGGGGTATGCTTTAAAGTCTGGACTGATTCTAATATATCTTAGATTTTAAAACACTTCATACTTATATGAAACTCTAAAGTTTGGGTTAAGTGGATTTATTCTATAAGTTTGCATACTATTGCTATTAAATAGTTTAAAGGACTGCTGATTTATAATTAAACTACTGTTAGAGAACACCAACTATTTAGGTCTGATGACTTTGTGTTTGCTTTCTAGAAGTATATAAGGAATATTTTTGTACATTTTATTTTTTTGTGATATAGGTAGAAATGAGCATTTAAAAATACCAAGAAAATGTTCTTTTAATGATAAAAACAGCTTAAAGGGAGAGCAGAGGAGAGACACAAGTGTAGTAATTTCCTTATCCCAGATCTGTTATGGTGACTTCCCTATAGGCTCAAGGCATCCCTCCTACTACTTGTAATATTTTCTGGGCCCCAGGGTCCAAAATGTTTCAGTTACCCCTAGGAAACCACGTAGAAAAGTCTCACTGACTTCTGTTTTGCCTGGATTAAAATTTTAAAATATTTTATAGGCAGTTCATACTTAAAAAAATTAAATTCAGCGGTGTTTGTAAGAGAAACTAAAACTGTCTTCATGTAAAAATCCCTCAACCTTATATTTTAGGAATCCACTATTAATATTTTTTATTTGAATTTTAAGCCATGCTTATCCTGTCTAAGGTATTCATGGGGATCTTTCTGATTGCCTTTACTCCATGTGTCTGTCCCTTTTAATGGCAATGCACCCCTTGGTAACACTACCCCTTACCCTGGGCCTAGGAGGGCCCTAGGCCTTGTTAACCTAAGTAGAATTTTGCAGCAGATTTTTACTATTTATCTGTTTATTTTTGTGGCACTGGGGATTGGAACAGGATCTCTTGCATGATAGGCAAACAT